GAAAATCGATTCACAATTGGCCAACATATACTTGAAAGACATGAAAAATACAAACGAATTAAAGAACCTTCTTTTTTCGAAGTCGGTTGATAACACTTTACAATAACAATCGGTTACGTATTGACTTTCAATACAAACAAGACATATAATTTTGAAAGGGCACATATAGTTAAGTAGCTTACCAAAAGAGAATGGCGAAAGATTTCCTATCACCACGACGGGTTATATTCAAGTAAAGTTTAGGTATATCTGTTTCGACTAAAATTATATATTTTTAATCAGTGCCATGTTTCTTTATAAGTGTTGCTACTTTCTCAACTTTAACAAGAGTAATAGAGAAGATAGAGTTAGGAAATACAATAAAACACGTACTATTTGTTAAAATTACCTTTTTTTAAAGTTTGAAAAAATCTTTAAAAGATCCCGCCAACGAGGAATGACAGTGTGTGGGATTCTTAATCACTAAAAAACTATGTACACGGTGTACCTTCGAGCGCCATTCCAGAAGTGGCGAGGTCACCTTAGCTACCTTATTCTACCATGACTCTGGCTTTGATTAAAATGACGTATATGAATGATATAAAGCAAATTTTTCAGTCGTATTAATAAAATATAAAATCTTATGTCTGCTTAAAGTATGTACGAAAGTAGATTTTCTATATAAAGACCGTGTATCTCTGTCAAACCTATTTATAGCTGCCTAACGATATTTTGGCTCTGAAGAGTGTTGATGTATAACAATGAAATTACTAGGAATTGACATGTGAGGAATGCCAATCAAATTAAATTAACAACTTCTTTTTGGCATGAAAAAAAATAAAAGATGATCAAAGGGTTCTTGGATGATCACTAATGTTCACTGCCGTAGTTTCGGTTTCCATCACAGTGTCGACAAAATCTCTCGAAACCGAATTTTACGGAGAGAATAGCGAAAACAAAACCGGTAAGCTTCGCACATTACCGCCTAAAACTTGTTACGTGCCTAATGTGAGAGTAGTATCACAAGTTCCGAAATAAATTAAATAATTATGACTTGCAACAATTCTCCATCGTTTATAATAACTATGACGTTTAGACTCTATATATCCGCAAAATATAATAATAGTAAGAACTCTGGACATTTCACATACCGCTAGCTATTCAAAAGCTAAATAGAGTTATGGGTACTAGACAACTAATAGAAATACTTAAGTGCATTTTTTATGGAAATACATGCACAATAGAACACACCCAGGCCGATACAAACAATCATACTTAAGAATACAAAAAGTTAGCATCGTACCAGGAAACAAATCCGCGACCACCAGAAGATGATATGCTAAACCGCTAGACCATCGAGGCCGATATGGTGTGACGATGTTATATCGATGTTAAAAAGTAAAATCAAGTCTCAATAAATACACGGTCCCGTTTCCTACTTCCGAAATTACTCAATACCGCATTATGAATATATTATGCAATTTGGAGCACAAGTCGACCGGTAAGCGATCCGCTCTCGCATTTCGGCTGTCAGGTGTCCGAATGAGAAACATAGTAACAGTAAACATGTTTTACGAGTGGCCACTACCCTGAACGAAACCTGAATTGAAACTATGCAACTAATAAACACATCGCTTCTGTCGGAATTACGGGGTGACACTGAATTGAGTTAAAATGAAAATCTCTCGGCTACAGGAAAAATAAGGTTTTCCTTGAATTCCTGCGTTGTGCAAAATATTTCTCAACAATCCAAAATTGCTTTCTGATTGTTTGCACCTACATTATCAATACATGTTTTTTTAATAGGCTGCAGTTCCTTTATTTATTCTAGAAAATATATATGTTGAAATGAAAACTAAAGTTAAAGTTAAAATAAAAAGTTAGATAATTTAACTGCGCTCATTATTATACAAAAATATTTGGATTCAAGTAACGCGGACTTGCAAGTAAACACTAAAACTATTCAGAATCTGCTACACAACCAACTGATTACAAACATGTGCCTAATGTTAAAAAAAAGTACATACAAAATTTCATACAGAAACTATTACTAGAATAAAAAGTTGTCTGCGTGGGTACCTCAGCCGCCAGGCATCATGGTTTATATTATGTGTTTTCGTTGTGGAGTGCAAATTAAGCAGTGAAATTACAGGTTAAGAGACATGATAGCGTCGTAACGCATTTGATGTATCACGAGTGTCACATGATAACGTGATGTTCGTAGCGTTGTTAATGTCAATAGAAGGCGGGTTTGGGCTTTTGTCAGATGCTAAGACCTATAACACTGCTCGCCCTTTCGCTATGTAGTGACCCGTGAGGGACAAGAATTGAAGGATATTCTTATATTGATTCCTGATTATAGAAGACGGATTACCGTCACATTATTTGCCATTCTAGTGACAGTAGTGACAGTAGCATGCAAGTAACCATAATAACATAACATGAGTACTTGCGTTACGATTGGCTTAATAATGTCAAGAGCGAGAAGGCGCCTCACTTTTTAATTTCTAAATGACCAACAAGTCTGGTTGTAATGGCCTCGTTTGCATAATTATTTAAATAGACAAAAACGTACATACAATTTCTGTTTACATATTTTTATTTGGCCATTTTACCTGCCTACTTAATGCGCTTTCGAGTACTTGCATTACATTCATTGTTTTACATTGCATGAGACTTTCGTTCTTGATCATGACTTTATATTATACTAGGTGTCCCGGAAACGTTGTTTTGCCTTAAAATAAAAAAAAAATTTGTACTGAAAAATCAAAAAAAAAAAATAGGGGTGGACTACCCCTAACATTTAGGGGGATGAAAAATAGATGTTGGCCGATTCTCAGACCTACTCAATACGCTCACAAAAATTCATGAGAATCGGTCAAGCCGTTTCGGAGGAGTATGGGAACGAAAACTGTGACACGAGAATTTTATATATAAGATAAGGCACTACTTTTATTTTGAACTAGTCACGACACTACTTTGTCCGTAAGGCCTTAATTCCCGGGAATAAAAGTACCTTATGAGGCCATCTGTATTTCGAATCTTATGTAATTTTGGGAAGATAATGATAGTGATCAGTAGCCCCATTGCCACCAATGTACCATGTCAAATATCGTATCCACACAGAAATTAATCACCATGGTTTCTGGGAAGGATTCTGGAAACCATCGTAATTAATTTCTGGTAAATTCTCCAGGATGCGCTTAGTTCAGCCACATCCTATTTTCATATATTTGTGCCGCGCCAGCGTTAACGGAAGGCGTTTGCACCATTCCATATTAATCACTAAGAAATACCACATATATATGACAATTTTATATTTAGTAGGTTATTTAGAGCGTAAAAATGTAAGAAACAAACTGACTTTCGTCTTTACAACATTATGATTGAAAATGTGTAGGATAATAATTGAACAATACCTACTCTAGAGAGCACTCTACTCCCAAAGAAATATAAATATATTTTCTAATGTTCCTATGAACAACTTCATATGCAACATGATTGGTAAATGAGTTGCGTTGGTAAAAACTTATTTTATATTAAGTCGACTTGTTAATTTATCTCATGATGAGCTTATTCAACGATAGGCTCAACTAAAGTTCACGAAATCGTAATATTTGTTAAAAAATAGAAGTATCGTCATAACATTTGTTAAATTAAACCTCCTTATCTGAGCGACCGAGCGTGGCTAGTATATATTTTTTTTTTTCACAAAAAACGTAGACGTAGGAAACTTTTTGTCAAAAGCTTATTTAAATACAATTATACATTAGCTTATTAAAATACAATCATTAGATCAGTTTCCGTCATAATAATTATGTTTTAGTAGAAACATACAATCGTTTATTTTTAATTTCGGTATAGAATCAGATTAAAGCACACTGTAGACATATTATTAGTTTAATTATCCTAAATGTGCAATAAAAAAATAAATACTTAAAATAACAAAACAATTAACAATGAAAAACGAAATCCAGTTTTGATAAAATTAAAACACTAACATCAAAATGTAATACAAATACAATGTCGGCCTTTTTTTTGTTTAGATGTTGAATTAAGTATATGTTTTTTTGTTTAGATGTTACAAGCGACATGTTAAAACTTTTCTTCAAATAAATAGTAAAACAAATAGTCATTATTTTGTATGTAAATGATATCTTCAATGCACTTACCTTACTTACCTGTTATATTCACTGTCTTGTTCACTGACGTTCACTTCTAGTGTAGATAAGTTATCAATTATGTACACAAAAAGTCAATAATCACCAGACATCTTTGTCGTCAGGAATGTTAAGACATGAGGCTTTTCAAGAGCATCCCATAACGCCGTGATGTCCGTGGTGCTGTTTTTTATGTATATGTGATCAAGAGCCCATTTTTCATATTTTGTATTACTTTGCGATCTTATGACCCCATTTTTTATATTATTTTGTTGCAATAAGTGTATAAATGTATATTTGGTGCATTAAGGTATATATAATCAAATAAAATAGTTCTTTGTTTATCATGAATACAAAAAATTTACATAAACTAAACATTGACATTCTCTTTACTCCAGTCAGCTCGTGACTACGGCTAGGGTAACCTAGTCGAAACATCGAGACAGGTAGTAATATTATTATAGTTGTGGTCCAGCGGGTTAGCACACTGCTCTACCTCCGATGGTCGCGGGTTCGATTCTTAATACTCGAATCTTAAATATTCGTGATTATGATCCGTTTTTTTTAATAAATAAACGTATCAAAGGCTATACGAACGAACGGAGTGAGTTTAGTGAACGGAGTATTCATAACAGTTGTCTAGTACCCGTAATACAAGTTCTGCTTACATTGGGACTATATAACGCTATGTAAATTGTTCAGAGATGTATAGTTAAACGTAAATACGTTTACTTGAGGTAAATACCTCTATTATTCAATAATGTGTACTAAATGCGAAATTTTAAAAATAAGTAAATATATAGTTAATTCCACTTGTAATCATACTATGTCTACTATACTATGTGTAGTGCACGTACTGACCTGCGAGTGCTGCAGCACGAATTCAGTGATGAGCGCGTGCGCGTGGTGCGCGAGGGGCACGTGCAGCGCGAGCCCGGCCAGCTGCAGCGAGTGCGGCGCCGGAGACGTCGCCCGCAGCCCGCCCAGCGGCAGCGTGCGCCGCACAGACAGACCTCCCGGTCCTGTCATATCACCCATATCACATCCATATCACCCACATCACCAGCACCCATATCATCATACCCATATCACTCCATGTAACATTAATATCACCGCTAACTTTTTAATAGCTTTTCAGTGGAAAAGCTATTAAATGGCTGACCTAACTTCATGCTCATCTTATCATCCGGTGCTCCGCTAGTGTAAACCATTAGCGCTGGCGGGTCCACCATTCCATTCTCGTCAATTAAAAAAATCAAATAAACTCAAACCAAGAACAGAGTAGTGCATACGTACCCTTAACACCAATAGTAACTCCGGCATGTGACACAGCGAGAACGGCGTTCTCTCCAGGCGGAAGTCTTGCGGTGAACAGCCTGGCGAAGTAGAACGGCCAAGTCCTGGCCATGTCGACGGCTTGTCTCTTAGCAGCCGCGCGTACCGGGCCTGCGGGCTGCGACGCCAGCCACGCGGCGCCAGTGCGGCGCTCGTTGGCGCCCAGCCGCAGCGACGGCGACGGCGAGTTGATATCGTGCACTATCTGTTAGACCACACGAAGATCGTTCATACCGTGGACATAAACGTATTGCACAGGATCAATTTAAAATAATAATATCACAAATGATGAATAACAATTGCACTTGTCTTGTGTTAGTACAAAGAGTAATTTAATAATTTCATTGGGTATGAAAAAATACTTGTTCTCTATTCTATTCTATTACGTATACTTTTTTGATATATCTTTCGCGCGGCGCGGACTCATTTTATGATTACCCGTTAAAAATAAATTGTTACAATAGGATTTTACGCGAGCATTGCCGCGAAATATAATTAGTATAAATCAATAGAATCAACATACAATACCATAACATAACCAATGAAATATAAAGTAAATTGTAGTAAACCTCTATTTCTATACTAGAGGTAAAAATTACAATAATAACATATATAACCGATAGGCAATGGATGAACTTAATTAACAAAAACTTTTCAACTCACCTGAGCATATAATAAGTCTAATATGGCTGGATCGTTATATGTTTCAAGTGGCGTAAACACTTCCTTGCGTACGCGCAGCTTCCATGGCACTCGGCTGTATGTGAGGAACGCGCGCTCCGATGGCAGTAAAGCCGCCGGCGCAGGCACATCGCCTACACACATAATAACAATAATATTTTTATTCTTGTATATCGTGTAGTATGCCAGTACATAAAATGATTACAATTACAATATAACAGAAATAATTTAAATCTAATATAAAAATCTTATGTCGCAGTGTTTGTTTCAAACTACTGCGAAACAGAATGACCAATTTTTCTTAATTTGTGGTGTACATACAAGTAGCTCTGAGAATAGGTTGTTGGCTATTTTCTACACCCTTATTATATGACCTTATCTAGAAATAATTTATATGGCAAGACACTGTTTGCCATATGAGCAACGATACAATTACAATTTCTTTACAATGTAAGTACTTATTCAAAGAACACATATTTACTGTCTACATCAATTGTGTCATTTAGTCTATAACCGAGAAATTTTTATTTTTAAAGCTATAATAAAACAGAACTATACTTACGTTCGAGGTGTTCAGTTCTATCAGTGACGTGGGTAGAGACAGAGTGTCTCCTTTCTGCTTCTATTTTTCTGTCCTTCTCTTTCTGTACCATGTGCGTTTTGAATGTAGCACGACTGGAAGTTTTCATATCATTGCTATCCGGTGGGAACAGAATATCCGACCGCGGGCTGTCTCTAGCTCGTCCCACCAGCATATCTCTTGAGTTCTTCCGCCCATCAAAACGCTCAAAGTCATCGAAGAAAGGCGATCTCTTTCGTTCAAATGGGTCATCCAGGCCGTTTTCGTCTCTTCGCCTCTCAGCTCTCGCAGGATGAATTTCATATATCTCGGATGCTTCTCTACCGGAGAAGTTGTCGCGGTCGCGTCGACTCGAGTCGATGCCCGATTCGGAGTCCCACTCATCACGACCTTGTTTTTCATCGTAACTTCTAATTTCTGACTCGTCTCCCCAGTCGTCCCTGACGCGTGAGTTTCTTTCGCGACGGTCCGAAGTTAGGAATCGCGTAGCCAAGTCGTCTCGGGGAGATTCGGAGTCGTCTTTTCGTCGAGAGTTCCAATTAGCTATGAACGCGTGGCGATCGTCCGCCTCTCGGTTTTGATGGACCCCAAAAGTGTCTCTATCGCGACGAAGTTGAGCAAAAGTGGAAGATGAGTCTGGAGCTGGAGGCGGCGGGGCTGGCCTGTCTGGTGGTGTGGGCGGGGACTTGGGGGGCGGCGGAGCCGGGCCGGGCGGGGCCGGCGGCAGCGGCGGCGGAGGAGCATCCCATCTCATACCACCCCCCAACTGACGCTCCAACATCAACTTCCTAGTATCTTCCAACTTGTTAACGGTACGAGGTGTTTCAGCAGCAGAAGAGGAACTGCGAACTGAATGGTTAGCCGTGACCCGTTCCAATCGCTGTCTCATTTCGGAGCTCAGTTTTAGTTTTCCAACACTACCGGGTGAAGGACGTTGGGCCCCGATTTCAAAGCTTCTTCTTGCTGTTCGTTGGTTTGGAGGTTCTCGGCTGGGAGAAACCGGACCATCTACCTCAAATTCTTCCCATTCAATGCCCGGTGACGCTTCTGACCGGGACCTGCCCCTAGGTGGTTCATGTTCTACGCCATTCGTTTGAGCCTGAGGAGTGTGTCTTCTTTGAATCTGACGCATCTTGAATTTGGTAAAGTCTTGTGTTTGTTCCTGGCCCGTAGCGTCTTTAGGAGGAGGCCATCTCCATTTGCCTATGCGAACTGTTTTCGCTCTACCATAGGGATCCATAAATGGTCGTACTTCGGATGGATCTGTTGCATGTAACGGTGGAGGCATAGGAGGAGGCGGTGGCGGCGGAGCTCCAGCTGAAGAGCTCTCGTTAGATTCACGCCTAGCCTTTGCTGGTATTCTTGGGGGTGAATGAACTTGAGCATGCACCACTGTCGACGACCTTACTGGCGACGTTGGTTCTCCATCTGAAGGATCTACAACTTGACCAGCTAGCAGAGTTTGTAAAGCCTGATTCTGAGCTAGGAGCTGTTGCTGAATTTGAAGGTTTTGTGCCATTGCGCTTTGTAAAAATGCTCTCTGAAGATTTTGATGATATGCGTTAATGTCGACCGTCCCAGGCGGTGGCAAATGAAGCCCTAACGCTGCTGCTAATGCTTCGGGTGTCGTTGGCATAGTTGGTGGTAAAGCTAAACCGCCATAACTTAGTGCTGAAGTGTTAGCAGAAGCAGCTCTCGGTGTGGCTCCACCACCTTTGATTGCACCTGAAAGCCTTTCGCCGTCAGTTAGCCTCTTCAAGCTATCGTTCATAAAAATTGGATCGAAAAGATTAGTTATGTAATCGTCTACTGAACCAACACTTGATTCCTTTCTGCTTTTATCTCTATCTTTTCCTTCTTTATCTCCGCCTTTGATCAAGCGTTCTAACTCTCCAACATCATCTAGTACTTTCATTTGTTCCTTGTAATCACATTTAAGGATATTGTCAATGAAATCGGCGTAGGTCTTTCCACCTTTGATGCTGGCAGCAAGAGAACGAGCGTCAGAGAGTTCGTCGATGTTCGGGTCAAGGACTGGAGAGAATAGATCGTCCAGGAATTGGTCGACGTCGGAAGCTTGACTCGGTACTCTGACTCGACGCACGTGCGATGCTAAACTTGGAGCCTCAGAGGTATCAGACATCGCTGAAGATCTAAGAAGAAAAGAGAAGATATGTAACAAAAATAATGTGAAAATATTTTAAAGATCTGATGATTAAAAATAAGTAATATATATAACACTGTTAACTTTACATAAGATACGGATAATGAAATGATCGAGTATCATTAAAATATCAAGAGTATCAAAAGTAAAATAGTAAAGTAGTTGCTTTGTCTAAATGTAAGGTCATCTTTATGTCACGGCTTATGATTTTTTTAACCTTTGGAAAACCTTACTAAATTTTTGACCACTAAAAATCACAGGGTATATATAAAACACAATTATGTACATTGACTTATAACTAAGAGACTTTGGAAACTTCGTTTTTTACAACTTTCATGGCAACAATGGACTTAACAATACTACTCTCATCTAAGATAGTATACTGAATAATATTACACGTTAAAATGAACTTACCGTACACCTCCGAATTCCGAACTTTTCTCAATATATGCGCGGCTAGACTGCGAGCCGGCCGGTGCTCGTTTACCCGCATACTGTGACTTTATATACCGCGACGGCAACACACGCGACCCTGTACCATATTCGATTTCCATTGCTCCTTTACTACTGGTCACGCTCGGGGCACCGCCTAACCTTTCTACCGAGTGATATCGATCATTGAGACGCGATTGCGATAATCCCAAATCGGCTAGTTTCGTCGGCTGTGGTACAGGGTTATCTCCTAACAGATTATCCAATGACCTGCTACGAACTTTATCGTTATTCTGTTCAAAGTATCGCTCGTTGAGAGCCGATTCACGAGAAAGGATGTCGTGCGATATCTTTCTCGAATACTCCATTTGTTTCGACATCGTGTGCGAATCTTCCCGTTCGATTTTCCAGTTGTATTCAGAGAGGCCTTCATCAATGGAGTCTTGGAGCAGCCGGGGAATACTAGGTGATCGAGATTTAGGTGGCTCCGGTGGTGGGACCTGATAAAATAATTTAATATTATTTTAATTTTGTGTGCTTTATAATGAACCAAAAAGGAAGATCATGTTGAAAAAGTTAAACACTAAGAATAAACTTATTTTAGATATATTTTTACTATGTTAGGTGTGTTTTCCTCTCTTCAGATTTAGCACAGTGGCTCACTTTTTACGATCATCATTAAATACCAATGTTCGTATTCATTAATTTTGCGCTGCTAGATTTTCTATATCGGCACGTATTATTAATATTAAAAATTAAAGTTGTTAAGTATACTTTCTGTATAGTATAAAATTATTTGATGCCGCGTGATATGTCCGAGTTTTTATTTGTTTGTATTATATGTACATATATAAGAATGGACATTTGACACGGTAGCTGCCCGGACATAACCGTACCTGCGGCCTCGCGGCGCGGTCGGCCTCCACGGAGGAGGCGCGGGGCGGCGGCGCGGGCGGCGCCAGGCGCGAAGCTGCTGCGCGCAGCGGCTCCCCGCGCGCGCTAGGCATCGCCGCCCACGCTTCTATCTCGCCCACTGCGTCCAGTGCGTACTCGCAACCAGCCCATTCTGTCACGGAAGCAAATATATATTGTCATTTTGAGGTTATGAATAAAATTTGTTTAAATTAGCTTCGAAATCATTATGAATCGTTGATTTTCTAAATCACGTAAATGTATTATTCAGGCCCTTATGAAACGCGTATAATATGTTATGGTGGGAAATGAAAATTCGTACTGAATTTATGAAACTTATTTAGTTCTGACTTTAATCTACTTGAACAAATAATCTTAATATTAAAATGAAATATCATGCGTTTGTGTTAGGAACTCTCGAGTCTATGGTACAGTTAATTCTCTAATCAGAACTGATATCCTGCTCATTATCATTAAATCTATGATAAATTTAAATAAACGTTAAAGCAACATTTAGACATGTTGAAGCACATGATAATGCAGAAAAATATATAAAAACGGTAAAGGTCAAAATATCAAGTAACTTTAAGGGGATGCGCGTGTCCCTTTAGGGTTTAGTATAAGACCTACTTCAAGTACTTGTACACTGCGACATAATTGACAATAAGGTTTAATTACAAACTCGTATTTACAGCTGACATTAATTTGGGAATTAAAATAAAAAAAAATGTAATTAAATAAAGGCGACGTACCTGTGAGATGTCCGTTATGGTCCATAGAGAGAGTCCAGCCAGTGGCGCGCCTGGCGACACCCGCAGCTGCGAGTGCAGCCGCCGCAGCTCGTTCGCACGTCGTCCACGATTCCACGCACACGTGATGCACGCTCTCTGCACAGACCCAACGGAAACAGATTTATTAAAATATATAGTAGTAAATTTCTACGTATTTTTAAATGAGGTAGCTAGAACGAAGAGAAACATTCAGAGATTTATTTAAAAAAAATCCTGCTATATTTAAATGAAGTAGCCAGAACTAAGGGAAACCAACGGAGATTTTTCTGAACGGAGAAATTTCCTGCTAAAGTGAAAAGATATTAATAATGTTTTTATATTTTAGGCAGTCCTTAATCTTTTTTTATAGATTGTAATAAAAAAGGTTGACGTTCTTAAGCGACAGCCGATGTTTAATATGAATATGATATAGGACGTGTATACCGTCGGGCAGCGTGAGGGGCAGGGCGGGGCGTGCGTCGTTGCGGGCGGCGCGCCACTCGAGCAGCGTGGGCGGCGCGCGCCGGGCCGCAGCCGCGCCGCCCGCCGCACGCGCCGCGCCCGCACCGCCGCCGCACACCAGCCGCGACAGCGCCGCACGCCACCGCGGAGGCGCCCGCTCCGATATCAGCCGCACTAGGTACCTGACACGTCCGGAACAAGTTACGTACACCGAATACCAAACCATCTTACATAAAGGAATTAATATTGTCATTCCAAAATTAAAAAGATATTATTCTCTACCACCACATCTTCACTCCGATCGATCCCAAATTCAAATGGGTTTAAAATTACTACAGCCCGAGCAGAGGTTCAATCCCCTAGCGGTGCCTTCAGACTAAAGTCGTATCCGTCAGGTGGGAGTAAGCCTTCAGCTGCTCCATAAGTCCTTCCGCGGGTTTTGAGTGCCATCTACACTCGCCCCCTATCGTCCGGTGCAGCTGCGGTCAACTGCATTAGAGTAGTCCATAAAAACACGTCTTTGCATCTGATTTTCACTGTTGATTTGTATACATATTTAATTGTATGTGTATATATATATGTATGTGTATATATATATATATATATATGTATGTGTAATCATTTATTAAATATTATGGATTATATGTATATTTTCTTTTACATAATTAACTTTGACAATACACCGCATACATGAGTCTCTGTTTTTTCTATGATTGTCTGGGAAAAAAGGCCTCAAGGTATTAAGACCGTCATGTGCACTTTTAATTTGCATATTTGTGTATTGATCTTTTAATAAAAAAATAAGTACATCAAGTATTCTATTGCCTATAAAAGTATCCTATTCGAAAAATATAGCTACACATAAGAATTTTGCTAGTGATAAAGAAGCCTCTAATGTTACTAGAGAAAGCTTAGAATGTCTACATAACCTGCAATATTTTATGCTACCAAAACGCAAATAAGCTTGCGGCCCACATGATAGTATATATCAACAACTATTTCTTATATAAATGAAGAACACTAGGACATGATATCTCTCATGGGTTGACATTCTTGCGAGGATATACCCTGTAATTTCATAACCATATCTTACTGTCAACCAGAAACACAGATTACAGGGTAAACTGCTTGGCGGCAGCGAGAAATATCAAGGTAAATAACTTTATACAGAGTATAATCTGGCAAAATTTAAAGGTTAGATTATATTTGAAAAGCAACGAACTTGTGTAACGGCGGTCCGGGCTGGAAGGCTGCGAGGCAGTGCGCCATGAGCAGCCACACGCGGTCTGAGTGAGTAGTAGCCTGGTTGCAGAGCTGTACTAATATCTCGTCACGCAACCCTCGCGACTGCAGTCCACGGGATGCTATGTAGTCCGCCAAGACCTGCGTACATTTACTTCGTCACTTCTATTCATATATCTTCCATAGGTCGCTTGTTCAGATGCGGCTCGAAGGACCAATATTATAAAGGATGATTAAAACATCGATTGTTTAAGGATTCACATGGATGGAGGTCAATATTTATGGCGAAAACTTTAATAATTAACAAAACACGAACTTACCTTTTGTCTAGTTTCATCGCCGGCCGCAGACTCGTCACACCATCTTAGAATCAGTTTGAACGTTGCCACAGCATCGTTAAAATCTTGATCTCTAATAACAAAAAATAAAAAATTTAATAAAATAATACATTTAAGCCGTATATTTAATGCAGCCATCATTCACTATAAGCGTAGCTAATAAGTTCACTGGGTTTAATTTTATTTTAATATTTCTATTTCTTTCATCTCTTTCTCTCTCCTCTTATGAGAAGAGACAAATGTATCTGTGATAAATAGTTCAACCATTCTACATACCTGACAGCTGCTTTCGACAGGAAGGGTCTAGTGATGGGATGTTTCCTGGGGCTGAGCTGCCCACCGTCCGCGAAATATACCGAGCTGAACTTGGAAAACGCGAACTGCTGCAGATCTCGGGGTAGCTGCACACGCTCGTCATCCGCGTATACGTCGCCTGATACCTGATTAAATTACAAGCTTGATTATATATCGAAGTAACTAGCTGACATCAACGACTTAGTCCACGTGGAATATAATTTTTTATTAAAATATAAAAAGAAGTCCTAAAATAAAAGTAAACTATAACGAAAAAAAAAGTTACCTATCTCCAAGTGAAAGTCCCGACAATTCGGTTCAGAGATTAGAAAGAACAGATCGACAGACAGACATGAATTCATATGCATTTAGTGAAAATCTGTTAATATGAGATTACAAACAAAAACTTCAATCTCTTATATTAATTTGTATCAATAGATATCTTTTTATTCTTGTGCACATATAATTGATTAAATAGTATTACAGTAGTTATACAATAGTAAGTTACAGACATGAAAAGCGTCAATAATTTTTTGATAATAAATATATTTTTGGTATTATATGATTTTTCAATATAGTCTTTTGATGTTATGTAAAAACTTATATGATTTTTCAAATATAGTATTCTTTTGATGTTAAAGATCATGATTAAAATACAATACTATAGCCACCATGAGGAGGGTTGATGGCAGGCAGTATCATAAAAAATAATGAAGCCAAAACCATTCTCTCGTAATATAATGTGAACTAATTATGATCGAATCATAGCTAGTAATGTCACCTGCATCTTGAGATATTTTGTTTTGTAAACAGTAAGGAGTGAATATTGTTTTCCGAGAAGCAAAATATGTTGTATTAAAATCGTACACACGTTATCAATTTAAAATTTTATTATCAAAATATTTTTCGTATTTGCACGTGTAACTTAAAAATACCTTGGCAAGATTTCTCTCAGTATGCGGTGGCTGCCATTCGTCAATCTTTGATAATATGAAGGCCAGTTCCGCTGGCACCTCCAACGCTTGTAGACTCTCTGCTTTTGCCTTTTGAGCCTTTTGTTCTGCTGCACGACGTCTGAAAATTACAGATATTATATTATTATTGAATAAATATAATAATAAATATTGAACATCGTCACCAAATAGATTAAAGGAGAAAAATACAGACGTTCGTGTATTACATATGTATGTAGTGACGATGTTTTTGACTCATTCGCAGAAAAATGTTATTCTAAAATTAACTCTTTAACAAGAGCAAATTTTAAGAACTGTTAAAAATAATAAATAGCCTTCCGATGCATAGATAAAATGACAATATAAGCTATAGATAATTAACATCAATCAACTCAAATTTACTTACATATACAAAGAAAGAAAGAAAACATTTATTGACAATCATTGCTTTACATATTCATATAACAATAAATAAACATGAATATACATATATATATATATAGCAACAATTTTAACAATGCGCTCCAGACTGTATACAATTGTGTGCAAAAGAATAAGTAAAGAGTTCAAAAGCAAGGAGCACGTAGGTACTAACTTAGCAGCCGCAAGTTGCGCTTCACGACGCCGTCGGTGTTGTTCTCGGATGGCGGCAAGACGTCTTCGCGCCCGTCGTCCGCGTACCAGCGCCTGCGCACGCGTAACTCCGCGTCGTACGCGCACGTAGCGATTACGTGCGTGCGCGCCGCGCCACCACGTCTGAACCTTTACTGCCGCTGTGCGCATTTGGTGGTATTGTTTCCTGGAGGGAATATTTTATTTGTAATGGCAAAGAAATGGCCCACCTGATGGAGGGAACAGTCTCTTTGAAATGGCAAACAAACTGAAATATTTGTTAGAAGGGACACTTTTTTTATACAATATGCATATATATTTTTTTATATGTATAAAATAATAATGAACAAACTAATTGTCATTATTTGTTTCTGTATTCTGTTTGTGTTTAATTTCTCATTATATATTGATAGATGATACTACCGAAACCGTCAATAAATAAAACTTAATACATTTGTAATAAAGATATTGTTTAACATTCTTTCTTCCGATAAAAAATGTCTACTTTTACTAATTACTTGTAATAAACATTTGATAGAATTAACACTTCAATCGTGAAGTTAAAATTTTCTTACATCATTAATAACCGCTAATAGCATTTTAACACATAACCGGTTTTCTATCAGTTGTGGAATGTAATGAAAATAAAATGTTTTTTTAAAAACATCAATAGGTTTAACCTTAGATTAGTAACTAAATTATGAATAACAATATTTTTAATCTACCCTTTCGGAAAGTTGTTTCAGTACAAAACAAGTAAGAAACTGCGTGTTGTTCTTTTAAAAATGCCATAATTTCATATCTTTAAATTAAAATACACGTGAATACCAACTCACAAATAACACAAATTCAATCGAGTCGAAATATTAAATAAACAGTTATTTGCGTAACTAAATAAAACAGTTGTATACAGTGATTAGTTTTGACAAACGGGAATTAAGTATTCGTGTTTACCTTGCGAGGTATCCTCGTACATGAGCTTGGAGCTTCGTTGCAGCCGCTCGCAACTTGTCCGCTCTAGAACGTTCCAGAGCTCTGTGTAACGCCTCCCTGATGAAGACTCGCGCGGCACCCAGCTGGTAGTCCGCACCAACTATAATATTATCAAATTAGAATATCTTTATTGATGTTGGCCACACGTACACACACACACTTATAAATTCATATCTACCGATAAAACCGGTAGTTTGAACACAGTAAAACTAACAAGAAATTTTACTTTTACTGTTATATTTTGAAATGAGATTGTACATAATTATAACAACACATATTGAAACTGAAGTTGAAACTAATCAAAACTAATTTTTAAATAACAATACACACATCTCAATAGAGTAATAAATAAATACTTTACTCGTAGATACAATACAGAATGCATAACAAACTATATTAAGTCAGCCTTTAAAAATCTTCATATCGTTGAATTTATTAACCGTATTTTCAAAATCAATTTGTGTTGTTTAAATTTAACTATGTAAGATTTAAATTAGTAATTCACAAATTACTGAAAATATATGTAGCTATATAAAATCATGGTTTCATTACACAAGTAACCAGTTTCAATAGATATTTATTCCAATAAACATTAGAAGTAATTAAAAAAAGTTTTGACATCGTACTTATTAAAAAAAATAACAAGAAATATATAAAAATTACACACAACATATTACGCGTTTTTTCACAGTTTTCCATTTCATCATTATGATTTTAGGACGACCATCGTTGAAGTTCAAAACGTGATAAACGCTCAGATAATATAAATTAATGACATTAACAAGCGGACTGTAGCACTCTCGTGTTCTTGAGCGAAGTTAAACTAACGAACTTACATATTTTCTTGTACGATAATGGTCGTTAGATAATAGGAATTATTATCGTCTATTTTCTGATTGTCTAGTATTAGACAAAGTTAGAAAGAATGCCTTTTTTATCTGACAATGAAAAATAGAAATAGAAATAGAAATAGAAATAGAAATAGTTCAAGTATTACGTAAGCACTATAGGGGGGCGGGGGCTCTTTTCTTTGCTTATTTTGGATGACATGGGGGTGGGGGAGTCTGTATGATGATTACGTCATCGGTCGTAATTTACTTTTTTACACGAATGGCAACCCTCACATTGTCTTTGTTAAAAAAACAATACATTAATTGAGAAATGTTATAAGCACTATATTGCGTTTGCTGACAACGGGGGATTATGAAAATTTTAAAATTATTTTCACTTCACTTCTTGATAAAAATGGTTTAGTTATTATATAAACTGAAAACTAGTGTTCAATTTATATACTTTACGCTTATACATTTATATACCTACGTACGTAATAATAGAATTACAACAACAATTACCTACAATTCTTCTAACAACTGAGAATGTAATTTATTATGATGTAAATTAATATTATAAATGAAATCAATAAAAATAACTCATACCAATGTGGTTTATATTATACTCATGAATATACCTAAATGTTTTTACCGTACGAGGAATCGAACCCGCGACTATAGAAAATAAACTGTCTGATAAACCGCTAGACCACCGAGGCCGTTAATTTACCGTCTAAATATGTAAACTAAAATACTGTTGCGTATATTGAATGATATCTACAAATAATTATCATTAGCGATTTTAATTTATACATTTGTGTTGCATAAAGAAAGAAAGGATTAATTCCCATCATTATAACTAAGGTGTTTTTAGTCGGGAAATAAAATCTTAAATAATTATGGTACATAGAACCGAGTGTTATTTTTTATTAAAGTCTACATTTATTTGGGAATTAAAGTCTTAAATTTATAGTACATAGAACGACAAATCGATGGCCACTGGAGTTATAGGCAATTAGCCACTTCTCTTTAAGGGTCGTCAGCTTCTTTGACTATTTTAAACATTAAAAACTTACCGGCCCCAGTAGATGGCATCTCCGCTAGAATCGAATTGCAAATCTCTCGATATGGCGTCGATCGTTGTGGAGTCGATTTCAGTAGGTACCTGAAACAAATTGCCATGGCATTAATACCTATCTTTGTAAGTCTAAATTTATATTACTGATGATGTTTCTGCATTGGTGATGGTTACATGATAACGTGATGAATGTAGTTGTTCATACGACGGTAACTACTTAAATCAACTGGGCTATCAGTTTATTTCCCCTTTTAATCATCTTAATCTTAATAATATTATAAACACGAAAGTTTGTGAGTATGAATAGATGTTTATTACTCTTTCACGCAAAATATATTGAACGGATTTTGATGGAACCTTAAAGTAATATAGCTTATGCATCAGAATAACATATAGGCTATATTTTTGAATGAAATTGCACTCTATCTACTGCTAAAATTGCATTAAAATCCGTTGCGTAGTTTAAAAAATCTAAGTGAATAAGCTGCGGAAGCGAGTTCATTTTATATACGTAAAGACGTGTAATAAAAAAACAAGTGTTTATGTCATCAAACCTACCGATATTTATCCACAAAGTTCTGGATTACATGTAAAATTTCCTCTTGCGTCACTCTATCCTCTGTTAAAATTGCTTTAAAATCTGTTGCGTAGTTTAAAAGATGTAAATGAACAGACAGTGAAAGTGACTTCATTTTATACTGTCTAAATATGTGTAATAAAAAAACACGTTGTGCCATCAAACCTACCGATATCTATCCACAAAGTTCTGGAACGGTATTCTGATTGGGTAGCCGGTCTGTCTAATCTTGATGGTGTCCAGCATTCCAGTGTATCTGAGCTGGGCCAGCACGCATGGCATATCGAATTTCATGGGTGACTTTTCTGTATTTGGCTTGATGCACCGCACGAACCAAGGATTGCACCTGGACATTGACTCCAGCAGCTGGTGGAGACTGTCCGAAAACCTGCACAGAGAGAGAAAAATAATAAATTGTTATTCTAACGCCAAACTCACTTTTAAAAGAGTGTAAAACTCTATACAATCTATGAACATTCCACGTGTGTATTGGAATGGTAAGGCGGATGACATCTTCCTCTCACTCCACTACATTATGACCGTGTCTGTCAAGTAAGAATATTAACTACTATAATAAATAAAAAAAAAATAGGAAGAGTAACTCTATACCACAGAATATAACATCGTTAAACCGCGTATATTACATGAGTTTTTTCTAAATCACAATGGTCTTATAGAAAGTAAGAGTGCATTTGGTTCTCATTTAGCTATATTTGAGAACAAATAAAGATATACAACATTTATTAGTTAGTTATAAAGATGGATAAAAATAGAGATGTGTGTAAAGGTATTAACCTATATTAAGAAAATATACAACCAATAATTTAGTTTTCGTTTGTTAGAATGCCTAATTCTGATCATTTACGACGTAATGGGTTAAAATACATCATTTATATAAAAAAATATATATATGACGTTATACAAATGTTTACTTTTTATTTGTTATTCTTACAATTAAAAACTACTGAACAGATTTTGATGAAACATTACAGTAATATAGCTTATACATCAGAATAACATATAGGCGATAAATTTCATGTGAAACCGCGGGCACAGCTAGTAGGTAATAAATGTAAATGAACCTTCTTTTTTGAAGTAGGTTAGAAGAGTCAATAACACTTCACTTTCACGCCTAGTTTGTTTGATATGCGTTCTCACTATCTTTATTGAGTGACAATGCTGTTAATTGATAATTAAAACTATTCATACCTTCTGTATGGCTATTAGCGTTTTATGTTTGATCCAATTTTCACTTTTAAACACGCAATGCAAACTCGCTAAACATAAGTCATTTGTAGTAAGAGTTTATAAGGTTACAGTGAAAATAACTTGTAAATAAATAACATTCCAATATGTTAATAATAAAACGGAAACTCTGGCATTTAGAACTTTTAGAACCTTAAACTTCTACTCTTTTTAAACCTTAGAGCGATATAATCTATATATAACATTCCGATATAATTTGTATTAATATTATAATTGTAGTAAACAATTACAACCCCATACAATTCACATATCGCCATCTAGTCCCACGCTCACTAAAGCACTTATGGGTATTAAACAACTAATATAAATACTTCAATTCATTTTTTTGTAAATATATGCATAAAATACTCTTAGACAATCTCAATATAAACAATCATACTCATGAATACAAATGTTTGCATCGTGCGCGGAATCGAACCCCCGACATAATCCGGTGCTCTAAAGCACTAGACCGCCGATGCCGTCTATTATAATGCAGTAGAATTTGTTTTAAATAACTATATATGTAACGTCTGCAACTATACATACAACATCATGGTACAACCAACAAGATCCTAGCATCAATGATGCGCCAGTCAATTAGTAAACATGCCTACATTGTTTTTATTAAATCAATTCATATGGATCTTTCACATAAAAGAAGAATTTTTTTTAAAATTTCAATAAACTATTTTTTACTGATAATGAGTAAAAACAACATATCAAGATTGCAGGATACGTCATGTAAGTAACTAGGTGTAAATACAGCGTTAAAGAGTATAATTTGTTGCCGACTGTACCTGGCAGCAACAGTAGGTGTCCTAGGCTTCATGATGACGAAACGTCCATTGGCTCCCCTCGGGAGGGTCTTGTTGGCGTCGTGCTGTGCTCGCAGCTGTGTTGACATCTCTGCCACCAGCGGTACCTCACTGCTGCACAGCAGTTCCAACACATCCGCCCGTAGAGCATCCCGGTTCTTGTCCAGGAATCCTTCCACATTATACCACACTTGACCAGCGTAATGTTTTATCTGAAATTTTAAAAATAAACAATTAAAGTAATTATTATACTTCGTTCCAGTAGCGCTTATATAAAGGCAAAGGGGTCACCTCAACCACAGACTGCCTATTGATGTCCAAACGCGTTATGCGTTAGGTCATCAATAGGCAGTCTGTGGCGCGTTATGCGTTATGCGTTTGGTCATATTGATTGAAAAATAAATCGTATTGAATATTTCGTAATAATGATATTTATTATTATGTAATTATGTAATAATGATATTCATACATAATACTTAATGAATACTAATATTTACATTGAGCGAGAAATCGAACTCGCGACCATTGGAAGTAAGTGATGTGCTAAACCGCTAGGCTACCGATGTCCTCAATCTATCGAATTTGTATTAGTATATTGAGCACTGTAATAAATATTAAAAAAATAAACAATACTTAAACCAAAATCGAACTGTATTCTAAACCTAGGTTAGGAGCTAGTCCTAACCTAGGTTTAGAATACAGTTCGTTCATACGTGATTGTAATGGCACTTTTATAAGAAAGAGGCATCGGACGAGTAGTTATATATTAATTAAATTAATTATGGTTTAATTCCAATTATTGGGCGATCACTAGTCGTGATAAATATTAAAAATTCAAGAATACTTACACCAAATTCGCTAGCTCCTAACCTAGGTCTAGAATACAGTTCGTTCAATGCGTGATTGTAATGGCACTTTTCTAAGAATGATGCGTCGGACGCGCGCGGAAAATTGCTTTCGTCATCCAACAGATGTAAGATTCCCACAGGTTTTTTACTAAGAAGTTGAATAACTGAAAAAGACAAACACAATTAAACATTAATGATTTTGTTGTAAAAGAAAATATGTTTTTAACAGCTTGTATTAAACTCGTAGATATCTGATAACTGTAAGAGACTCGTAGATCTGGCAATCGTGACTTATACTACTTTTTTATGATGGATGATAATGGAATGTTGAAAGCACCTGCGCCAACGGTCTACGCTGGCGGGACACCAGTGGAGGATAGTAAAATGAGCATGAAGTCAAGCCAGTAAGCACATTTTAGTAAATTACCACGATGCTTTCAAAATTGACATCGTTGTCGGCCAGATTTCAACACACGACCTCTTGAGCGTAATTAAAAGTAGTAAACCTATAGGTTGCTCTCTTCAATCTAGTATATACTCGTATAAGGCGGACTTAAATGTGTAATTTACAATTAATTAATATATTTAGAAAATATATTGACCATACCTGGAGAATTATCGTTCCACGTCAAATTCGACCACTCCAGTCTCTCCTTTTGATATTCCTGTTGCTCCAGTTTAAATATGTGTTTATTAAAATAATGCTGTAGAGTTTCGTTTGCATAGTTAATGCATAGCTGCTCGAACGAATTCTCTTCCAAGTCTTCAAATCCGAAGATATCTAGTAGAGATATTCGATGAGCGTCGTGTAAACCAGCGCGGTGGACGATCGAATTTATTCGCAGGACCAGCCAGTTGAATAGTGATGAGTAGAGGGCTTTAGCAAAAGCATCTCTGGCATCAAGAGCCTGATCGATAGGCAACGGTGACCTCATGCGTTCAGCTCTAGCGGCGGTCACTCTAGTCGTCAACGCTCTAGCCAGTGCTTCTGCAGGTACTTTCAATAAATGTGCAGCCCAACGTACTTCAGCACCTCCACCTAACTGCACGCCTTCCTGTCCATGCCGGAGCTGTCTTCGGTGAAAGTAAACATTGCCTAAATGTAAAACTGCCGCTAGGACTCTTATAATATCTTCTCTTTCTGCGTCCCCTATGCCGAGGACTTGCATAGCACCGCATAAAGCTGACCAGTCAGCTCCAGCGCCCGCACCGCCTGAATCCCCACCTCCTTGGTTCAAATAAAAATAATGCTCAGCCGTCAGTAATCCTCTTGTTCGTCGCTGTTCTTCGCTTAATCCAGCGAGTAGTTCATAAAATACATGATAGTTTCTCTCACCCGGCGACTGAGTGACTATTCTAGATTTCTCGAGGAGATAATGAGCAACTCTTGCGCCCGCTAGCGCACCATCCTTGAAATATAGTTCAAGTAATTTCCCAAAACGACTAGAATTGTGATTTTTTGGTGTCCTGGCATTGCCGAAGGCTTCTAAGAGTGGAGCTGCTTCCAGGATTTGTTCGGAGACTGGCGCTCGACCAGGCGGTGCAGGTGCGACGGCTGCGAGGAACTGAACAGCTAGTTTGGTGGACTCGGTTTTCCCTGCACCAGATTCGCCAGAGATTAGTATGGCCTGAGGCTGAGGTAGTGATACGCGCGCAGCAGCTGCTATGGCGAAGAGATGTGGTGGAAGATCACCTAAGGCTTCGGCTGCGTGGTACCTAAAAAAGTGTGTTAATTCATGCTATATTAAGAATTAGAATCGCAGAATGATTAGATAAATAATACAATGAATTTATAAAAATGCAACAGAAGTTTTTGTTAATTTACGTCTATTTGAGCAATTCGTTAAGTACTTTTTATAATTCACGATTCGTAGTTTTGCTGAGTGTGTAAAAAATACTATTAGTATAAAGTTAATTGATTTACCGCTTTTTATTTAATATAAGAAACAAAAACAACATTTAACATAACAATAACTATTATAATTTAATTTTATAATGAAATACCGGAATCTGTCGTTGATCTGGTTGGAAGGATATTAAATATTCTCAAAAAAAAAAAAGCATTTATAGAACAGTACTCGTACTATGTTACAAAAGAAGCAAATTTACCGTTGACAAAATATTTGACCGCGAGTAAACTATAGCCTTGTGATTTGCATAACTTTGTGTATATATAAAAGAATATGTACAATATTTAAATTATGCACGATTAAAACCACTTTATTTTCACGCGTTGACATTTCTAGTCTAATCCGATAAGTCTAAAATCGCGTTGGATTTTCCTATGTCCGGCATTGCGACGGACATTAACATATTTTGTGTGAAAGATTAATATCTGATCTGTGCTATCAGAGACATTGAAAACCATATTAGAAAAGACGTTTGCTTACGAATTATAGACACATTTATTAAGTTAGACAAGTTTATATTGTTGTTCGCATCTGTCTCATTGCACTGTAAAGTCTTACTTTGAAAGCTAAGTTCAGCTTTGAAGGTTGAGATATGGCAGTGAAATTACAGGGTAAGAAGGAAGGACACCGTTTTAATAAATGCAATATAGAGATAACACTGCGGTACACCTTTCTTTGGTTAATAATATAATTTCTCAGGACAATTCACACGCCATCTAGTCGTGAACTAAGTAGAGCTTGTATTGTGGGTACTAGACAACTGATATAAATAAATAGATACATTTTTTTTTGTAAATACACACATAATATATATAGAAAATACCCACACCGATACTAATCACACTCGTAAATACAAATGTTTGTATCGTGCGACCATCGAAATTAAGGCGGTATGCTAACAGCTAAACCATCGTGCCATATAGTAATAATAATAATAACATAATACATAATAACGTTCTTGGCTATAAACGACTGTTGTCTATTCCCATCAGGTAGTTATAGCCTGTTGACAATTCCATTTACATAAAAAAAGAAATTTAAAAAATTAACCTCCGTGCAGTCTGCAGTCCATACAAAGAATCAACCGGCCGATAAGGGTTGACAGCCACCAGAATGGAACCCGCATACGTGTATATAATTCCCTGTTCGTATCTGAGCTTCAGGTTCCATAATAGGGCTGCTTCGTGCAGGTCGTGGAGACGGGTCATGTCGTCCACTCCGGTGGGGCCAAGCTCCTCGCGGGGCCATACTGGATCTCCCTCGTCCTCGCCATTGCCCATTTGGAGGGCGAAGGTCTGGGGCTGTAGAAGAAAATATAATTTACGTTCATTTTCAATGTACATTATATATATAACTAGATAGAATATGTAGATCATTTAAATACTACATATACAGATACGCTTCCGCAGATATCCCATCCCATTAATGCCCACAGAAAAAACACAGCCCCAACAGTACCCTAAACGCGTTGTACTCTATACTCGCAAGAAATTTTAAGCTTTTTAAGTATATTTCATATAATAATATCCTATTATAATTCTGGACAATTCACACAGCGTTACCTAGTCCCGAGCTAAGCAGAGCTGGTGTTATTAGTACTAGACAAATTATATAAATACATACATACATTTTTTTGTAAAATACATAATATAAAAAATACCCAGGACTATATAAATCATGAATACAAAATGCACCGTGCGAGGAATCGACCCGGAATTTCCGCTTTATCGGAATAAAGCAGTGTGCTAAACTCACGGACGCCGTCAAATATCAAACTACAATAGTACATGATGTGTGAAATCATTTGAAACCCGACAGCTATATCCGACGTTTCTACGGACTCTCATTACCATGCGCGTCCTATAAGAACTAGTGATTCATTTTAAACGTGGGCAATATAATCATGGCGCTGCCACATCAAGCCAACACCTAATTGTCTTAGCTGATTGCTATGCAAAGGACGTAAGTATTATCGCATGCATACTATAATGAGGGTCACATAACAGTATCTAATCAACACATAGCACAATAGTTGCCTACTCGAGCAGAACTGCATCGTGTGTGCCTCTATGCAAATTGCAAAGGACCTTTCACCACGACATATAAGCATATTTATGATCCAACTGAACAAAAAGCAATTACTGATACATTGCGTATTCCCTATATGGCATATAATATTGATACGCTAATTCAACATGCAGTGAATTGAAGCAATGCGAGCGGTGTTGACAGCGAAAGGTTTCTTGCACCGGGTCACGAAAGATGGCCTGATAGCGATTGTAGGCTGTCATTACGTTATGTCACAGTCATGGTTGGTCGTCAGGCTATTATAATTTTCCATCTGGTTGCAGTTTTATGCCATTTCGTTATACCTTTGAGAAGTAAGTCAGTCAGACTGTGGGTAATGCTCAGTTGGTGTAATTGTGTAATGTTAGCAAATTAAATAGCGCTGACAATAGTGGATTTAGCCACTCATATTGTATAGAAAATTATACGTTAGTGTTATAATTACAAGTCAGCATTTTGCTTACTCAATGCTCATTGCGCATGAGCTTTGTAATTAATAGCAGTAATAATAAAGAATATCTTATCTAAGGTGGATACATGTTAAACAGTTGTATACAAGTCTGTCATTTCAAGAAACTGTATTATGAATTGTTATAAGTAGTAGACTACTGATATAAAAAAATGATTTTTTTTTTGTAAATACAAATAATACAAACAATCATACTCATGACTACAAATGTTTGTACCGTGCGGTGAATCGAACCCGCGACCATCGTAAATAAAACTGTGTGCTAAACCGCTAGACCACCGAGGCCGTCAAATGATTGTCCTATATTATTTCGCGAGGAGGAAGCTTCGATATTATAGCATTATTTAATTTTATAAGTACACAAAATTATATATTACGTTATTCATTAGGCTATCCAAACATAAATCCTTCAGAGGCGGCACTGAAAACGTTCTTCGTCTTCTATGTTTAACACTTAATCCATTCGATTTAGTACTTGAAGATTTATTAGAACAGGCCATTGTTTGTGATGTATTCAATACAGCTCCACCGTATTTGTTTCTCTGTCGATATGAAATGTCAATCCTGTGTGATGTGGTAGAATCGTAAGAGATGCAGGAACTGGTAGATTTGCAAGATTCAGGTGAACTACGAGGGGTTGGTGCAAATCTGACTCGCATTACAAATTTTCTACTCTTTCACTCATCTCTTCAATCATTTTAGACATTTTTTTTTAAATTAAATATTTTTGTTTAGTGACATCAATTCACTATGGGCAATTATTGTATCCATTCAAAATTTCAGTATTAATCTGTGTTTTTTTATTACAATAAAAACAATCTTCTTTGAACTTCTGGGAGTTAGTGCTAAGACTCATCAGTATTCGGTTTATACTACATTCCGAAGTGACATACTTAACTGATCTTAAAATGGAACTATAGGAACTATAAACAAAATATTTTAGAAGATTACCCATCAAGGATATACTAAATACATAAATACTGAATAACTTTACCCAAAGAATATACTTAAAATGTATATGGTAAATTTCGTGAAAGATATTCTTCCAAATCTTTCTACAGCTAAGCTATAACTTGGTAGTGTTTATTGAGATGGACTAGGACTAGGAATCTTCCAGTCCTCGGATTACTGACTCGACCAGGCGCTTCTCAGTATGTGATTTACCTATCGCAATTTTGAAACGTCCAAACAAATATATGCAAATTGCAACTCATTGGTAAATTTTAGTTATTTACAGTATAATATTTCTTTTGTAATTATGGTAAATAAAGATTTTTTTATTGCAACATATTTTGATGTTAAAACTTTTTACTGAACCTAGATACTTGTACACTTTACTGTTCACACAATGATTTTAAATTAATATACACATAACACAAATAGGATATCCCTTTCTTTTGATTAAATACCAATATATAACGTTTTTATTTTATTAGATTCGTGAAAAAGAGAATATTACGAAATCCCTGGTAACGACAAACTTGCGGACTACAGTGAAACGCAAGCCCCGACTAACTGATCATCTCTGGTACATCCACAGGGTCGTTTAAACTTGATAGACAAGAACTGTTATGGAATGAGGATAACGGACAGACTGCACGCAGTGCCCGAGTGGTTTGTATGTTGCAACAACGGGACTTAGAAAAAGTTCACGTGGTTTCCTTCCGACGGATATGAAGATTTTTGCTGATGCTGGAAATATGACGGGATGGTTAAGTTTAAAGTCCAAACTTCCGATTGGTTGCAAATTAATTATATTTAAAGTTTGCCTTTTTATACTATTATGGTAATATTGTGTAAATTTAAGTGTAATGACAGTGTTGTCAGTCTTGCTATTTACCGAGTTGTGTCTTCTTTTTTTTTATATAAAAGTTAGTCTATGTCATTCATCATCTTCAACTTAAATAATAATAAAATCTGTTTAGCTATTTAGTCATTATAAGGTAACAAACAGACAAACATGTTTTTGCATTAACAATGTTATATATGGAAGTGTAGATGAACAATACATTAAATAACAATTTACATTTATCTATTTTCACCCCTTTGCCATTTATCGGACTGGACTGTCTTTGTGTATTTATTCCACATATTAAAAAAAAAAGATTATCATAAAGTGGATTCTAAACATATAAGTACAAGAGACGATAACGCTTTAGCCTGTATCTTGTATCCAATTAAAAAAAACATCTACGTGAATTACGCACATTGTAATTTACAACCATTATACCTAAATATAGGCCATTTGCAACTATCACACCAATAATTAAAAGAATTATTCAATACAGTTGTACTAACGAGCGTGCCAAATTGCAGGCATGCTCCAATGAGCACTTTTTAATGCAGTATTATCAACGCTCATTTAAAGTAGATTAGTATGTTCGCACGTGAAGTTATGATAAATCGAACGTATATTTTGAATCGATTGTATTAGGTAATGTGACATAAGATTTTTTTTTAAATACTGTAATGCTGTTGGTCGTAGCTTAGCACTTATAGCATAAAAATCATCAAGTTTTTTATTTATTCTTAACTTAAATAATAAAAACTTAGGACAAATCACGCACCGCCATATAATCCTAAAGTAAGCATAACAATATGCACCAAAAATAAATAGAACAAGGAAAAGTTATACAATAGCAATACAGTAGCCTATTAACCCTGTAAAGGTATTATTAATACCTTATTATTGTAACACTAGCTTTTGCCCGCGGCTTCACTCGCGTTAATTTATCCCCTTAGGGGTGGAGTTTATCATAATCCTTTCTTAGGGGATGCCTATGTATACATAGTAGCTTTATGCATGCAAAGTCTCAGCCCGATTGGTTTAAAATTGACAAAGTTTCATACAAACTTTCATCTATTTTCATTTCATTTCATACAATGCCTACGTCTATTTTATCCTCATAGCCCAGTGGTTTGGGTAGAATTAATCATCTTTGAGTTATATATATAGGAGATTTCTTAGTGGATGGATGGATACTTATAAGCAAAAACTGATTCAGTGGATATACAGCAGTAAATATAATTTACTCTTGATTTCATCACAGTTGCACGTAAGACATGACTGTTACTTACCAACAAGAACACTAATTTTAAATGTGATAGATTATACTTTTTATTTCACAATTAATGTGCCTAATAAAAATTACTATGGAATGGATTTTAATGAAACTTTACAATAATATAGCTTATACATCAGAATAACATATAGACTATAAATTTTACGCAGGTGAAACCGCGGGCAGAGCTAGTCTAATGTATTACTCGCTGGTATTTAGAGGGAATAAAATATAGGCAGGCTTTAGATGTATCTAATAAATTCACATTCCGAGACAAGGCCTTGCAAATCAACCTTACTTGGCCGACCGAAACCTTTCCTCGCCGATGACGAATCAAACAATGAAACGTTTGGTTTCGCATGTTTACTTTTTACCAATAGGTTATTGTTTGAACAGACAAATGAAGAATAAGTACAAGATTCGGTACAGGCAATAATTAATACGATTTGGAAGACTATTGTATGGAAATGCGAACTTCTGTCAGAGAGTTTGTCCGCGCAACCATGATGGACCGGGGTAAAAAGTAGCCTATACTTTTTCATCACGAATGTTAAATGCTAAATTATGATTGTTTAAACAAAATAAGCAAAGAAACTCATTTCTGCGTTATAATATCTTTAAATGTAAATAAATGGGATAAGGAAGAAGCAGATGATGATGATGATGATGAATATCTTTAAATGTAACAGGAATGGGAAATCATCTGACGCCTGTCAGTGAGTAATAACCGTCGCCAATATGCATGAACAACACTATAGACATTATCAAACATCGTTTGGTACCACTCTGGAGGACTAAGGTGTCAAGTCTTCGTAATTTTACTGACTCATCTCACCTTTCAAACGAAACATCTGGCAGAGCAATTTGCTTGTCGGCTAATAGAGGTGTGACAGGATAAAAAACTTAAGAAAATATATCTGTACATGATTATTGTCAACTCAACTAAAAAAAGTCATCCAATCTTCTTTGCGTGGATGTTATTTGATATCTTTGCTGATTAATATTTGTTATGTATATTTGATGTCCATAAGAATACTAATTTACTCGCATAACATTGGGGGTAGTCAGAAGCTTTGTTAACTGCCGAAGCCCGCCGTGACAAACGCAACACTTGATATATATCCTTAGTTCGCTACGCATATTTGAACCCAAAATGGCAATGCCGAGTCTGCCGCCGTCTCTATGATTAATTTTATTTGTAATATATGTTTCCATTACTGAAAATAATGAAAACAAAGATTTATTTTTGTTTTCATATTTTTTAATCAACCCAATTCTAACACATGGCAGAGGGCGAGTCTACCGCCGTCTCTAGAACTCACAACAAATTTAATCACTTATAGGGAAGATCATAACGCTTCCAGTTGCAGTGGTCGGGTTTCCGCGCTGAATATTTGTGATCTCACATGCTATGGGTAGCGGAATTAACAAAATAACACAAATACATTAAGTAAAGGACTTTCCCAAAATAACACCTAATTTGATCAAGTTTGGAAAAAGTACTGAGTCGGGGTAACATAAGCAACAAATAATAGAATAAATTAGTGTTATGGTCTCCAAACAGTAATTGAATGTATCAACAAATAACTGCAATTCATTTGTACGAACGAGGTCGAAAATTTTAATCTCACGCGTGGTCAATGTCTCAATACCAACCTGGCAACATTCAAGGTCGAGGCGACTCCACTGTCTCCTATATTTTTATTGGTGTTTGAATTTTAATGGCTTTTTTATAACAGTCGTATAACAACAGCGAAGACTGGGTTGTTGTTACGTAATAACCAATTAAGTGATAATAAAGCCATCCTATTATAATTTGCAAATTAAAATAAAACAATCGTATATAATATATTGTAGTCATAAATTAACATGTTATTTTGGATGATAAATGGACGTATGATATGACTTATGAGTAACTTTACTCTCATCGTTGTACAGTAATATTTTTTTTATAACAGGATGTACCATATATATAGGTATTTATAAAGAATTTTGTTCTACGATATCATAGAGGGGGCCATGTATAAATTACATCACACCTTAAGAAAGTGACCTGCAGTGACGAAGTATGACAATGTATGACATTGTGACCAGTCCTCCTGGGGGGTCCTAAATTTTTTGACATCACATTTCAAATCTAATATATCAAATTATTAAAACATTAAATTACTATTATCGAAAATAATTAAATTTTTTAAATATGTGACGTAACTGAGACCAACTGTGACGATAGGGGAAGAGAGGAAGGCTCAAAAAGTAACCTAAATTAGATTGAAGTGAAGGATGGCCCTTAACGCAAAAAATACAGCCGAAATACTCTATTTTAGAAGAAAAATTAAAGAAAAATTTGCGATATTAAAATGTATTTTTGTTGTAACCTATAAGTATTTATAATACATACGTGAGTAGATATGCTTTCTATAGAAAAATACCATGAAGCATATAACGCATGTAATCACGTAAAGTTGTGTTGCTCTAGAGTAAATTATACTGATAACTATAATATAGTGACCAATATATTATATCTACATAGCGAAATATCACGTACTATGCATTTTCGTTGATTAGATAATATTATATATGTACCTATTCGTTGAAATATAGACTTAACATGAAATGAAATAAAATTAATCTTAAGACGACGCATCGCAAATCTCAATTTTTCTCAGCACTTGCAAATCATTCGGGGCTGATATTTAGGTATTTAATTTTTCACATCTTTGACATCATATACTCTGTTCTCGTTACATGATTGATTACCTTTTGTAGCAGAGAAATAAATCTCAAAGAATGGTCTTATAAAACATAAATTTACATGGTATAAGTAAACTGGACTGCTTTAAGACTCAAAATTTCTCGTACTTTATATTATGTACACACTTAAATGGTGACCTTCTTGAAAAACTCGGAGGTAGTTCATTCCACAATCTAAGTGTACGCGAAGGAAGCTTCTTTGAAACCGCCCTGTCATAGATCATTAAGGTTCCAGCATGAGGGGACGAATTACCTGTCGATGGCGAGAGGTGCGATGGTAAAAGGATGGAAAGATGGTAAAAGCCGTAGGTGATTTTTGTGTATTAAATAATTAATTAAAATCATTATCTATAATAATAATATATCATAACGATTATTATCCAGTTTGTAAACATCAACTAATGGCATTGTAGTAAGTCATTTTAGCCGCAACACAGCTTGTTTTGCGATTTGTATTTCGCTTGGCATATGAGATAGGGCAGTAAATTTATAAGATATGGAGTCATAACATCCTAGTCCTAGAATGGTAACGCAAGAGTGATGTGGTGTCCGTAGTATAGATATAAATATATGCGCCGTTGATTGTTACCATGAGGAGAGCGTCAACTTGTTTGACGTTCCAGATACCTACATAAAACAAACAGGTTAACAGGGTCTTAACACGAAATATTTGTGGTAAACAAAGGTCGATCTTTCGACTAGTAGACCACGTGATCGTGACCGAGGGTAGGTTGCTAGTGCAACCTAACCGGGGTCAGGAACTGACTTAACACCCGGTTAACAATATAAATAATGTACCAATTTTAAACACTAAAGTTTAAAAATAACAACTAATATTGGAGTATTACCTGTCCATTGACGATTGCACTGACGAGGAGTACTCTAGCGGCCCGGTGGACCTCCACAAGCGATCCGGGCAGCGGGGCGGAGGCGCCGGTCGGCTGGAACCACACCGCAGCACCTTCCGACCACTCCGCGAGCCCCCCGGAGCCCGCCATTCTAAAAATAATGAGGTAGTCGTAAACAATATTGCCACATAACAAGAAGTTATATGCGAGGTAGTAAGCAGGACAGACCATGTTCTAAGTTTTATCAGATTATAATTTTATTTTTATAATTCTTGTTTTTCTAATTTTTAAGTTTAATAAATTCACATATAAAGTTTATAACAAACAAGACGTTATATGCGATGTAGTACGCCATAACATTATACAGTTTTCTATGTTTTATCTGATTCTAGTTTTATTTTTATTATTCTTATTTCGTGTAAAATTTTAATAAATATCACATATAAATTAGCTTATTATTATACGCATTAATATTATTGAACAATGTTAAATCCAGACGATGTTGGAGATTCTAGTTTTATAATAAAAGACAGCTTTATGAGTAAAAATCATCTTATTTATTCAAACATTAAATAAAATATTCACTTTTAACAATTTATATTACGATGATAACAAATCAACTAGCGTTACATTACATATAAAAGAACTACAAATAAATGGGAGTTGGTGATGGTGGATACGCTAGTGGAGGTGGCAGTGGGTCGTATGGGCCAGGCGGGGGAGACGAACTGCAGCAGATGGGTGGTGGCGACGGTGGTTGCAGACACATGGGGGGTGGAGGTGGCGGTTGCACGCAGAACGGAGGTAATGGCGGCGGTTGGACCAGCACTGGACCAGTTGGAGGCACTTCGACGGAGATCGGCGCTGGTGCTGGCGGCTGAACGGTGATAGGAGGCAGTGGTGCCAGGGGAACAGTCATCGGAGGTGGTGCTGGAGGTTGGACGCTGATGGGTGGCGGCGGAGGCGGCTGGACACACAGTTGAGGTAGCGGAGGTGGTTGCACCATCATTGGTGGTGGCGGTGGTAAATCTACCGGAACTGGAGGTAGAGGTGGAGGTTGCACCATAATCTGTCCTAATGGAGGTGGCTGCACAACAATTGGAGGTGGAGGCGGCAGTTCAATCACGACTGGTGGTGGCAACGGTATCTCAATAAGCATGGGTGGTAGCGGCGGTGGGTTTACGTACATGGTAGGAGGGGTTGGTGGAGTAACGAATACTGGTGCTTGAGGTGGAGGGGTCACGCAAATTGGTGGTGAAGTAGGGGGATTTATAGTTAAGGGCGGTGGAGGAGGAGGTGACACTACCATGGGTGGCATAGGAGGCGGTGTGACTGTTATTGGTGGCGGTGCTGGAATTTCTACAAGCAGTGGTGGCGCGGCTGGTGGAGTTACGTAGACGGGAGCTGGTGGTGGTAGAGTGACATATAGTGGTGGCAATGGTGGCATGGGGATGGTGATCGCTGAGGGACAACCTGGGGGTACAGGAGGTGGGGGCAAAGGTGTTGGAGGTAGTGGCGCTACGGGTATTGGACCTATGGGTAGTGGAGATACAGGTAGTGGTGCTACAGGTAGAGGTCCTAATGGTAGTGGAGCTACGGGTAATGGTGCTGGAGGTAAATATGTTGGGGCCATTATGGGAGCTGGTGCTGGTAACACTGCTGGAGGCGCATAATACGGCGGCGGGGCATAGCCATGGCACTGTGCGTCAGCTGTGTACTGAAACAGAACGATACTATTTAAACCAGGAAAAAATAATTAAAAACAGCAATAACTAAATCTTCATTTGCTTGAAATATATTGTAGCTTTGTTGAATTTTATTTTTATTTACCTATAAATTTATAATAATTATTTAGGTAACGATATTATACTGTTCCATAAACAGTTACTATTAAATGAATTTTATTTTATACCAGTTATATTTAATAAAATATCAGGCAACTTACTTGGCTTATTGCAGCCAGTACCAGCACAATTATTTTGATGGTCGCCATTGGAGACCACAAACTTGCTACTTGTCTCATGTAAACACACCCTACACCTTTATATGCACATATTGCTCCAGATTTAATCGCAACATTATAATATGCAATGAAATATTACCAATACTTTATCAGCGCTCATTATCGTCTACTAAAATTGAAGCTTTGCATAAAAATATATCTCGTAATTCATACATTACTCATTAGATTAGTCACGTCGATCTGTCGACGTAGAAAATTCCATGTATGCAATTTATAATGTAATAAAAAAATGTATTCACGTTTAATCAAAACTATGTACAAACACGCAGGAAGGAAGCACAATTGCGCGAATACACTAACGAGTTGTGTGTGTCTAGTTTGACGAACAAATATCGGGAAGTGCGGTTTTTTCATTATTTGATAGTACACACGTAGGAAATTGTCTCCACTATGAACTACTTATTTGTAAGTAAAAGAAAAGTATTAATAGACTGCATTTCACTTTTCACGAACTCGAACGCCAGAGATCGAAGCACTGATTTGTGTTGTGGTACTGACCCAGAAATGAACAAGTAGAATGGATATCATAACGTCAATATTTAGTGCATCATCATTACAATTAAATCGAATCGATAGACCACCGGCACCGGCGGTATGCTAAACCGGTAATCACCGAGTTACCGGTTTAGCACACAGCCTTACTTCCGATGGGCGCGGGTTCGTTCCTTCGTTCGTTCTTTATTTTACTGTAGCTGCATTACGAATATAATTACCCTGAACAATTTCCACAGCGTCATCTAGTCCCTTAGTAAGCATAGCTTGTGTTATGGGATCTTATATAAATACTTAAATACAATTTTTGGAAATACATTAATAATATATATAGAAAACACCCAGTTACAAACAAACACTCATGAATGCAAATGTTTGTACTGTGCGTTGAATCGAACCCGCGGCCATCGGAAGTACAGCGGTGTGCTTAATCGCTAAATTACCGAGGCCGTTAAATGAATAGTAAAATAAATATTTAGGACTATATAAAAGTACTTATATTAATTTTATTTCATTAGATATTATTTCTACATGTATGAAATTGTATACGGCAATAACTGATGCCATAGATTTCTAACAATACTTTTTTCATCCTCTTTCGCAACTCATCTCATACATTACAGATCGGATTCGAAGATTCTTGACTCCAACATTAGACAATATCTACACAATTCCTATCACGGAGGACAAAACTAGGCAAAAGAAATATTTGATTATATTCGTACTTTTCGTTATTCTGTTCCTGTAGTAAATTCTTATTATTTAACGGAATATCTTGACAAATTATCTGTTTTTATTAGCTAAGTACTTAAATATTTTCATATGCCAAACTATTTTTTTGTCCTGGTTTATCGTTTATATATATTATATATTAACCTTAAAATAAATTATTTATTAACTTTCTCGAAAAATCATAGTTTTACTTTCGAATAATTACATCAACAGAAGGAAATAGGTTATGTTTCCTCTAATTGCCGTACAATTGAAATGAAACAAAATATAGACAATTAGAGAAGTTTAACACTTCTCTTATTGTCTATGGGTTTATAAAACACTTAAGACATTACCGCACTACTACACTAACAGGAACAATAATATTTACTAGCTGTACTGCTGTAATGTATAGTTAATTCATTGTAATGTTACATAATTATTAAATAATAGTCAGGATTCGTAGAAGCAAGTACATAATAACATACTTAAAAATTATTATCAATTAATTATTGATATATGACATAATAATTTCATATTAATTATCAATTTGTGTGATAAATAAAATTACATCATAAACACATCTGTACGTAGGTATCAGGAAGAAGTTTGTTGAAGGAAAGAATCATCATAATCGGTTAATTATGTGTTGTTACACAGCATAAAATAATGACGTTTGTGCTTTCTTCTTTTTAATGTCGCTTGAAAATACACATGATACTTAAAAGTACATAATATATTGAGTATTCATTAAAGTCAGTTTCTAACCAGTTATAGAAATTTCTGAAATAAGAAACCAGTTATTACGAAATTCTGTGTCAAGTTCAAACTCGATGAAACATACTTTTCATTTGAATTTGGAATTGCATTAAAAAATCCAGCTCTATGATCGAACACACCTGTGCCGACCTAAAAAAAGTTCATTGTATCCGGGAAACAATGGTCGCAGATACACTTCCGCCTGCCGAAGACGTGGAACTAAGCGCACCATGATGCATACCAATAATGTATAACAGGATCATATTAAAACACAACCACACCTTTGTGACTCAAACCAATGTGCGACTATTTACTTTGGTAGAGTTATATAGGAACATTGAATATGCTGTCTCCACAGTGACCTCGAGTGGCCAGGCTTTCTCGATCGTTCACCGCGTTCATAATAATTTTCCAAGAGTGGAGAGAAATTATGTAAATGCAAGAAATATTGGTGCTGCTTTTTGTAGTCACCGGTGACTATAGATAAGAAAACAGTGCAACTACAAATAAATAAACAAGAAGCGACAATATCTGTATTTTTTGCTTATGAGTCTATGTTTTGTCGTGAAAGTTTAAAATGACAATTTAGTTATATACTATGAAGTTTGAAATAAATCATAGATTAATAAAAAGAAAGACAATGTAGTGCAAGTAAGTAGATATGCTGATTATTACTGAAGTACTACAATAAATGAATAAGTTATTAAATATACTTTACATTCAAAATCACAATATTGCCAAATTCATTACTTAAATTACTGTCAATGGAAATAATAATTATAGAAGATAGCCAAAAAAAGAAAAATATCACTTTTTTTTATATTAAGACAATTTTGAATTGCAGACTGCAGACAATTAAATGAATAACCAATTAAATTATTTATCTGTACTAGATACTAATATTATAAAGAGGAAAGATTTAAGAAATATTGAATCATTCTTTCTTTAAATAGTATCTAATATAGAGCTTGTTAATTTCCATTAAAGAGGCTCCGAAACTACGGTCCGGATTTAAAGAATTATTTTACCATTCGTATCTACATTACCCCTGACGAACATATGGGATGTTAAGTAAAAAAGCGTGTAATATCTCGGTAAGTTTTTTACACACTGTAATTTTGCAATTCATTATCATTTCCAAGGAGACAAGGTCTATTGCACATTGTTTTTATGATTTGATTCTACAAAACGTATTATCTGTATTTGGTTACAATTCGATTCTATTCTGTTCTATTATGCGTCACGCGAGAATATTCTACCATTTTTTTAAATTGTATTAGTCCCAGAGCTAGACGTTAATTTAGTAAATCATTATCTTTGCCGTAAACTTTAAAAATTATTAGGATAATTGTTGCAGCTTGTGCATCATTCTTTTTATAAATATTTGTATTATTTTGATACCTCTTTTTTTATATGTCGCTTTTGACTTATTTGTAAGTCCTCTTGTTTTTGTGCTCCAGTCACTATAGTATTATGATGATTAGCGAACGGTACGATTCCGAGAGGGTTGAGGAGTAAAAAATACAGTCATTTTGTACCAGTTCAAATTGCAATAAAACCATTCAAAACATAACTCAGACTATCATAATTTCGATCCCAATCGGAATAGATTAGGAGATCGATTGGAAGGGAATTACGTACAATAAGTACCGTAAGTAGCCGTTTCTTTGGTTTCAGTCGTTTGGAATCTACCTTTTCTCTCTTTCCTTTATATGTAGATATATAGATATATATTAGTAAGGTTTGCATGTATCTACATAGTACATTTACAAGCTTCCAAGTAATAATAATTAATAAAAAGTAGAAAATTATATTAGAATTAAAAAAACTCTGTTGCGTTTTCATATGAAATATTTTAATGTCCTAAGTAATTTGTGGAACCTGTTCGAGAAGCCGGTTCGTAACATATGTACATTATAATTAATAATTATTATCTGAATATTTTTCACTTTTATATTACACAATCTTGGACCATTTGGAACTTTCACTATAATATAATCAATATAACATTTATAATCGTCGCGTTTTAATTTGAAATTATAGAATTTCTTTTAATTATTCAACATAATTTATTTTATCGGCAGTCTCTTTAATTTATTACTTTTCTATAAATTCTAGATTGCTAGTAACACTAACTTATATAGTATATATAAACTTACGCTTTTAAATCAAGAAGTATAAAGGAAACAAAAAATAGGACTTCTATTATTGAAATTACAAGTTTATCGTTTCTTTTTAAAATGAATTAACAGTTGTTTGGTCGAGTCATTTGAAGTCTCGAGAGCATTAGTACGCTTAGTAAAAGATAATAAAGGTCATTGTGTTATCTTTGGAGGTAAGAAAGTATGAATCCTAATTTATAAAAGGCTTCGTTGGGTAAAGGCGGTAATTCGACACAAACCGCTCTTGGGAAAGATGCCCTGGCTTTTGAACATATTGATCATAATCCATTTCACATATGTCAATACTCCTAGTAGTATTAACATCGCATACAGCTGAGTCGCTCGTCATCCTACTGCGGCTGCGCGCCGTGCAATATTGTGCATCTGTGGCGAATTACTTTTTGCGCGGGAAAATAAAAAAAAGACTAAAAAATACTTAACTGCAGACATATTGATTTGTTATTGTGCTCTTCATTCTTTATTGTTTTATACTGTTCTACATAACTTTATGTCTGTAATTTACTTTAATTATAATAAACCACACATATACACAAAAAGCCGAGTATAATCAATGCCTAACACATATCAGCAATGGATTTTTAAGCCACTGCCAAAAAAAAAGTAAAGTATTTTAACTATGGCAGGTACACTGATGATTTCTTGGCGGCAATTCGCAGATTGCCGTTATATCGCAATACATTCGCCGTGCCCCCGGGCGCCGCATGCTTTGCTTTTTGCCATCGTCGCCTCTTGTAATGTCAATGTAGGGTTGCCAAATCCAAATTTAAAAACAAAAATAGGAAGTTACAAGACCAGAACAAAGTAATAGAGTTGCAATAATTAAAT